CCTTCTGAGTGCGTTTGCGTAAATGCCAACCGATCTGATGATATACTAAGCCTCTTCAATGAACAAAATATTTGCAACATACCTTGAGGTATCTGATAAAAATGGACTTATACTGCACCTTCCTGGCACCAAAATGCAACTAGGGTTAAAATAAATAAAGTTAAACTAAATAAATAAACCTCTAGCTCGACTCCGGATGCTTTAGGAGTTTTGAATTTGGTTTTAACGAGCATGCATCCGAGCAGGCTTCGACGCCATTTCGCGCTCCCTTTGTGCTGGTTAGCACGCACATACTCAGAGTCCCTAGTTCAGGCACACTACTCAGATAAGTTGAATAACATCCTCCCTTATACATTACTATTACATCTGTTCTAATTAGATATATTGCTTCTTCGAATATATTCCTGAAACCAGTTCTTTTGATTTGCGTTTCGTGATCAGTACTTACACGTTAGATAAGGTACTGGTTAAGCTGGTACTAGAGTACATCAGGTAAAGAAGGGCTGGTCAAACGTTATGTAATAGTAATGCAACCAACACACCCTACAGACTTTAGCTAGTGCAACAGCGAACAGTCTCATTTTTCCTCTTCTTACGCACATGACACATTATCTATCGCTGTAATCGAAATGAATTATTAAAATGCTGCCATCGTCTCCTCAGTTGTTAGCTAGCATAAAATCCACATAGTGTACTCACACAGTGAATATTTTTGAGAATTAACGAATTTTTGTATTCATAAATGAGTGTCAAACTTATTAGCAGTGAGTTCATGTTTGAAATTAGAGTTTTTGAACATACCCCCTAATCTTTAGCATTCATTCACCTTTTCTCCAGTATGTCACCTCACTTATCCACAACAATTGTCTTAAACTCGTTGACTTCCTCACTATTCGACTACTTGCTACACCTCATGCACTAATGTGTAAGCTCTTTCTATCTTTGGAAAAAATATTTGATTCGGTTACTGAACAAAATGAGAGTAGGCATGCCAACTGTTTTCAGTGACAATGATTACTGTTACAAAGCATCAATGAATGATATTTCTGGAAATAAATATTCACAACTGAACGAAAATAACCATGTCACATTTGCTTATTTCATGTAGCACAGTCTTGTGTTGTCGCATATATTCATATTACAGTCATTACTTCATTTCTTATTTGTTCTCACGAATTTCTTAATAAAGTGTAATGGATAATTATTAACTACTAATGTTTTTTCAACTTGTCTCAACTCCTTGGTTGAGTCATTGAACTGGCAAATTAGTCATCCAGCTGAATTATTTAAACAGTCGACCTAACTGATATTGTTTGTATGAGATGACCTGCAGTCTGTATAGCTGTTTGAACGTTTTTTTCGGGCTGACGGTAGCATCCGAACCGGCATGTTTTTCCTACTTCACGATCCAGCATACCCACTTCTCCTTATTCACCAACTTCCTACCTCACAGGTAAGCTGGATTGCACTTAATACCTAGTGAGTTTGTGTGTGTAAAGAAATCGTCGATATGTTCTAGGTTTCAGCACATTAACTTAGTCATCCGTGTAGCGCCGCAATGTCGTAGTTGTAGAATTAAATGTTCGTAATGTCATGTTTTCTTAGCTATCCCTGAGTATGTGTGACTATTGATGATATCATTGCCACACTATCTGTTTGACAATATATTTTAGGGAGGGGGGGGGACTTGAAGACTGGAGGTCATGCACAACTGTACGCTTAACATGAACTCACCAATCGATACCGTAGGTCTGTGAGTCATTTCCGAAGAGTGGTGTTTCAGAGACAATCAGACAAATATCCGCTTATTTTTCACTAACCACTGCATTATTTCATCTAAACCTGTGACTGTTTCGCCTTCAATAGTTCTTCCGACATCGAGGAAAGGTATATGCCAAATACTACAAGTAAAGTAATTCATCAACTGTTCACTCAACAATTCATATATTGGGCGTCTCTTCCCGTTATGCTATACAGTTGACAGTATTTACTCCTTGCAACAATGAACTGATACGCATATCTATCAAACAAACTACACTTCTGCAGTCAATATTTGCATATTCTCGAAACCAGATACATCCAAGTCACACGGTCAGCAATTTTCTCATTACCTTTTCATGCACCACTTCAGTCACATATGCAAACGTTTCCAATTCAATACGTAGCCCAACACCCACAGAATCTTTTTTCCCCGTGTATCACGCACTCTAGCTCCATATCCATGTTGTCTAAGTGAATACCACAGCCTATCACAACAGCCATCCATGCATTGCTCACTCAAAGCACTTGACATTCCAAATATCATTGAGCCTTCCATAAGCCCACTAAACTCCAACAGGAATTTACTTGCTCAACTGCTACAATCACAGTTCGTGAATACTCTCGCATTGCAATATTACAATGATACAAAACGTCCAACTAACTCGCTTTCAGACCAAGCACCAATCAAAATTACCATTCACATCCCTGCAACTAACTGTTTATCATGTTAGCTGACCTTTAAATGAAATGCACGTATATCCTTCAACAGTCCGTATAACCGTGCGATTTACGTCAAATTGTCCTCCATTAAGACCACTCACGTAATAACCAACTTGTATCCTTAAAATTGCAAGTATCAGCTTCACTATCCACACGCGCATACATCCGGCAGCATCCAATGCATTATGAAACGAAATTGTCCACACAATCTTTGAAAATCATTCCTGAGTGATTGATTTTATACCTCAATACACTCGTGTCCGAAAACCCAAATGAGATAATGTAGGCGTCTTACTCGATTCGTGCATAAACATCAGTGAAGCATCTTTCTGCATAGAAAACTCTTTCCCTTTCAATGTCCTACAACGTCAACTCAATTGCTAAGCGCATGAATCCGACTGTCTGTGTCTAACTTCGCGTCTAAATTATACTCTTTCATCTACGGCACTAATCACGCTACATACTAACATATCTACATCGCTATGTATCCGTGAATACAACCAACAGTACTCACTGTAATCTACAACAAATTATTCTACACATTCATCGAACATTCTACCTAACTGCTACATTCTAAATCTGCATGTAGACGAATCCCATCACTTCAGTGACACAGTACAAGCATTTTTCACCATTCAGGTTCAAGCATCATATAGTAATTTACATTCCTGTGTGCTTATAGCACAAAACATTCAAACATTTAATACGAATTCATAGGTATGTCTTTGATTCGACGTATTCAAACACTTAGATGTCACGAATAAATAGTATAACTGTCTCTGTTTTCCATAAAGTGAAAAACATATTTCCTCGCTAGAACAGAATCCTAGTAATTTGCTCCCGAAAACTAGTGAACTTTAAATGCGTCAATTTGTTGTTATGTACATGTGAAAGAACTTTTCACTCCGCAGACGCAATATTCTATATATCAATATGTTTTTCCAACAAAAACTGGTTCGATCAACTCTGATCAAGTACTTCCCCAGTCTTCTTTCGAAATCCTATACAAAGTATAGAAAAACGGCTCGAAAGGAGTACAGATTCGTCACTGATGTATAACAGAGGCATTGGCAATCCAACAATTAAACCCTGAGTTCTGCGTACAAAAGAGGTAAGTCCATTCTCTTATTTTGCCGTGGTCATAACCCTTTCTTAGTTTTCTTCATTGTTTCAATATTCATCTGACTCTTACTGACTGGTTGTCACTACTTTTTACTTTACTTCGCGGTTTACTTCCTCACATCTTAACATGTCAGCTCCAATCTCCCCTTAGAATTCTTATAATACTTTACTCCGATTATTGATTATAACTGGTATTATTTTTCTTGACCTGTTTATTTTTTAACTTAGTAGTCACCAAGTTTACCTATTGCAAATTTTCCTTATACACATTTGAACACCCAACCCCTTTGTAACTCTAGAATCGACCTAATATTTCACTTTAGAACATTCCATTTTGATGACCTAATAACCAATAATAGATTCATTTGTTTGCTTGTTATTACTATAAATATGATTGTGCAGCTGCTGAAAATGAATTGCCGAACAGAAAATTTTCTTTGCTGAATTAATTTGTGTTTTTGAACAACTGATAACACACTGTTATTTATAGCAAAATCATAGACATCCTATATACCTTGCTCAACTGCTACAATCACTGTCAACACACAATCGCGAATAAACGCTTTAATGATACTGAAAGCTTCCTGTTTTCGTTGTGGTTATACCACGCTACAGGATTTCAGTTACCGAAACAACTGCTTCTCAACATATCAATTTACATCAAAACCCTATCTATCGATTCGTTTGCATGTGAACAGGGTTGACATAAGTTGAGGTCATGTAAATATTATTTTATCCAACTTGTTAGGTTAAGAAATATATTTCAATAACACTGGATACTCACGAATGTCTATTGGTTGCATCATGCTGATCTAATAACCTGGGCTTTTTTCTACCTATGTGCATCTGTTTCGCATACCGAGTTAGTTACATACTTATGTAACTAAGCATGAGTGTGCTTCTGTCTCTTTATTGGCGTTTATTTGTACTTCTTCGATTTAGAGTAAAAATCATCCGTTTGATCAAATAATACAGTAAAGAAGTCAAATGTTATATTATATGTTTTGACAAGAAGACATCCTATGTATACGAGAGAAAAATCACAACTTTTATCTTGACAGGCTAGGAAACTGTATAGGAGTGATTTGAATGTTAGTGATCATGGCAATTGTATTTACACAGAATTGGAATTTGGATGATATGCAAAGAAACATATGCAGATAAATGTTGTTGTGAGAAAGAGAGTAGAAAGAAAATTACAACACAATACACAAAGACAAGACTGGCTTTGTTAGCCTTTTAACATTATTTGTGATTTTCTGTAGGGTTGACTTCTTTGCATAATCTGTCTATAATTTCAGTATACGCCTTCCTCGCTTTAAGTCGGGAAACTTTGAATGTTGGAGTGAGCAAGCCATTGTCAACTGTGAACGCTTCATCGGTCAAGTGAATTCTTTTCAACTACGTATAATTTCAAAGTTTAAAAAGAAAATACCTGAATATTAACTTCAAAATGTATAGCACCTCGAAAATGCTGAGAAAGACCACCATATACATGTTTATTTCCTTAGGATTAAACAGAAACTATGAAATTACATAGAAACGATAACTCTGCAACTAAACAATGTCTGTGGTAATCATATGAAGATTTAAGTTCACTGAAGATATTTATAATCAGTACAACAGCTCAACTTCATTACAGACACATTCATGTATGTAGTCCTGCTTACCTCCAACTGCCTGTGAATTGATCATCTAGTGAGAAACCTTTCATGTTTATCGGAGCATTTCGATAAAAATTGAGAAGACGATTGGCATCAAGTGGGCATTTGTCAGATCTTAAGAGGCTACAGAACACTGAACTTCAAGATAAAATTGTGAAATTATTGGTGCAGATTTTTCGAGCACTAACGATTTCTCTGACAATGTTCTCGCTCACAAGAGGCTTTCCGTTGAAATCCACTGATGTCTGATACAAATGTCATGAACATACAAACACTACTGAATATGAGTGGTACAGAATTACTCATATTGGTCTTGTAGATTTCGCTACCTAGATGATAGTGATCTAAACAACAGTCTATCTTTTCGTTCCACTAAATCATAAACACTGTAGCTGGACTAGTTCAGTTCACATATATCAATTCTTCAGATCAACTGAATACGGCAGGCTGACATGGATACACCGATGTCTGAAATAGGATTGTCAATTTGAAAATTACTCACAAATTGGACGATGACGTTGACATTCTAATACACTGCTGTTGAGCTTAGTGCCAATCAAAATAAAAGAGCGGCCAGGTGATTAAATAGATCACTCCAATCTAGTTAATGATATACATAGATCAACAAAAGTTGTTTTCAGCTCCGTAAGTTCCTGAGTAGCACATTACAAAAGTTCAACAATGCTGGAAACGTCACCGTGGATAATAGTTAGATAAGAAGCCATTACTATCGGAGTTTAAATAAATAATGCTGTGGAGGAGTTCTGAAGGCGAAGTTTTACCTTTTGCAATAGAGAATTGACACGTTTACAAGGCAACCTTCTTGGGCGACCAGTACATCAGTTGCGCTACCTCTCCACTCTAAAAAGATGTTTAAAAATGTCAGTCTGCCCAACAAAACGAAAGCTAGCAAGCTCTGCAGAGCCATTAGTCATCCGATCGAGACAAGGTACTACACGCTCTAGTCAGTGATGGATGTGACGCAGTAGCCCAAACGTAACACAAAATGAAAATATTCTATCAATTGACAATGAACTTGTTGATGAAAGACACGCATACAAATTTAAAGTAGGAACTTGCACAGAAGTTTATCGCTTCAACTTGAAATAATTCATTTCAACAAGAAAGCAACAACCAAGTAGAAAAAGAAAGATATCAAACTAGGTTAACATGTATAAAAGTAGAGAGAACTAAATCAAAGTTGGTGAAAATTTGCAAATTTCGAAGGAAACCAAATAGTGAAATAGATCTGCAACATTTGTAACTGATTGCCAGGCTTATCATCACTGATCTCCATCGTCTCGACAAACGTTACCAGACAGTTTACACTTCTCTCCATGATTCAGATCAATAGTCAAAGACTTCATGGGCTGCTACCGCGTCTTCATATGACCAACCTCAGTCTTCTTTCAACCTGAATTAACTTCGACTTTGCATGAGTAACACACATCTGATTCACTACACTCTGGGAAGACTTACATCCTCATCAACCGATTTACCTTCCCTGCGTAATTATCGCTCACCTAACCTCGATATCCCTCACCTGGTGGTCGAACACCTTTCCATATCTTCTACTTTCAGGAGTTACGTCTTATGGTTGTATAGTAGGACAGCTAAATATTGCAGAAAAAAATTATCTTTCGATTGGTAATCGGTTATCTCACTTAAGGCATAAGAGGTGTAAGGTAACATATACCAAACAGGCATTTCGTATCTTCATTGTTGGAATTTATCCAGCCATCAGCCAATTCGGGTTGACACAACTTCCAGTGTATTGAGGTTGTTGACGCACTCTACCACTTCACTCCTATCCTGAAGACCAGTCCTAATAGGCTAGCTTACACTTGACAAGTGCAGAACGCGTGCCAGATGTACTAATATTTCCACTTAAGGTGTTCAGAAGACGCTGTATTTCAACAGCATCTTCTGCTAGTAGTGAAATGGCGTGTGGCTGCTCCAAGGCAACCAAATACTCTCCAGGAAGCAGATCGATCCCCGTGAGGTCAGCGGTAACCAAGTCTATGTCCATAAAATCAGCTATAACGATATTAAACATGAACGGTGACAGCCAGCATCTCTGCCGAACACCAGTGTCTGTCACTAAATCAAGTGATAACACTCCATAAATGTTTACACGGCTATGTGAGTTCTAGTAGAGAGCCTTGATCAGCCTGAAAACGTCCTCGGTGATCCCTTCACAGTCAAACATTAACATAACACCTCTTGCTCGACACAGTCGAACCCCAAATTCAGGTCAAGAAATATGATATCTGAGTTCAATAACCACATGAAAGGTGAAGATTCGAATGATGCATCCTCAACCAGGTCCGCAAACTGTCTAGCTTTTGAAGCTTGGTGTTCTTCAGCTCCAGTTAGACGTCCGGTAACTATGGATCCCATGGTCATAGACACGATGCTAGTCAAACTCCGCTATCGGAGAAATCTCCTCTTTTATCCTCTAGACTGTATTGATCACTTAAGTCGATCAGACTGAAGACACTAGATGTGATTCCCATACGTCAACGAGTACCTCAGCTAGTCCAATCACAGTAATTTACTATCTCCATGACTAAAGCCTTCAGAAAGCAAACCAACAAGCCTAGCTTCTCCGCCCTTTGAAATGTCCTTAAGTGTTCCTGTCGAGGTTCGAGTTGTGTCCTGACATGTTACTACGGAACCCTTGTTCAGTAGTCTCACTGACGATCATATTTTTCTTGGTAGTATCCTAATCCGAGATATTTAGTCGGTGTTTCTTGTTTCGGTTTCGTCCCCAACTAATGTTGATGATCATTTCGAAGAATCTTAGTCAATTTACGTTGGAGGTGCTTCCAATTTAAGTCACTAAGTGTTTCGATTCCCTTTGTATGGTAGTGTAAAATGCGGATACACATCAAAGAGAGGTTGTACGTTGTTTTCTATGTAACTCTGACTGCATTTACCACTGCTTATACAGAGTACTTATTATTCCGCCATGTGTACATAAGATAAGGATTGCTATCATTTTAGACCTTTTCCTTATATACAAAATTAGCGGTACAATCTTCTCATCGACAACATACGTTTCGCTAACAGTTTTTAAACCAGCAAGCACAAATCTACGCAACCGTAATAACGTGTGACCAGAGTCCAAACAAGTAATCCAAAAAGAGCAGTAATACTCAACTGATCCACTTCAACGATGACTTATAGCAATATGATCTATCTGTGTTCATCATTGGCTTAATGTTAGCGGATGCCATGTGAGACAGTGTCTCCCTTTATGTGTGAAGTTACTAATGGCTAAAAACAAATGATTGTGAAAACGAAACTGTAGGAGGCAACTGAGATTATTCATAGTCGGCAAGCAACAACACCACGCATACCTCCAAAATGCCTTTCAACTGGCTAAGCTTTTGTAGTCGAGTGTTGGCATAGTCTCCTCATATAACCGTATTTTAACGTTGTGCTTCAGGAAGTGAACTCGACGGCTCTGAGTAGAGCTCATCCTTTGAACAGTCGAAACCGTAGTCAATGGTTGCTTAGATCCAGACTACAACTGGGCATAGATGATTGTCTCGGTAGTTTGCAGCTCTTATAGATCCATTTGGTCGAACATCACATATGCAGCTGTCCATTGGTATGCACTCGTGGAGTACACCTCAATAGTGAGTCCTAAGGAATTCGCCATTGAATTTCCTAACACTTGAAAAGTAAACCTTAGAAATTGACAACATTGGCCAAATGGTTTCAAGTGAAAGTCATAACCACACTGAAGTCCTGTATTTGTATGCGTGTCTCAGAAGAACAGCATTCATTTATGGCTTGGGATTCTACAATTATGCCAAGCGTGGTCTGTTTTCCGGTTCTGTCCGCATAGGATTGGGACACTGAAAGTTGCAGTGCAAAATTGACAGAGTAGTTTATAGAAGACTAGAAATGATGTTTCGCTGATGTGGATCGTCAGCAATGGTCATAGTTTGTGGTTGAGGAAACCTAACAAGGCTTGGTGTTGGTATCAAAAAGTGAAGACAGCGAAGGAAACAAAGTTGAGGAAGGTAGGTTGTTGTTAGTCGGGTTTTTTTATGCTACTGGAAGCGTGTGGGTGGTTATTACTTGTCAACCGTCCATACCATAGAAGTTGTTTCGATTAGATAGCTGAAAGAGGAAATGGATTACTTCTGCGTGACGACAGCGAACATGGGAGATCTGCTAGAGGTTTGTTGAGCACTGCCTTTTCAAGAGTGTTGGACTGAAATTTCATTGCTTGAACAGGACAATAAGAACACGCACCACAGCCACCAGCATACCACTGGACAGTCACATATTATTATTTCAGGATCACAAAGAATTGCTATATTTGTATTCTTATAAGAAAGCGAACGCAAGTCTCAAAAAGCATGACTTACTTTTCAAATCCTTTCAGATGCTTCTCAGTTGCAATTTGGTTCAGAGAACTGAGAATGATGCGATTTACAGTTTCATTTGACATAAACTATGATCAGATAAGTGAAGTAATTCTGATTGACTTTGCCTAAATGATTCACGTAGTTCAACGAAATTTGGTACAACTATGGCAACAAGAAAACTGGACTGTGAATTGGCGTCAACAAGGATTTGGTTAACCAAAACACAACTTTGATAAACTGTTTCAAGTTTTTCTGGTGCTATGTATTCACCCTGAGCCAATTTGAAAATGCTTTTAATACGATCAACCAATTTCAGTGCACCTTCCTGAAACAAAAATATGAATTATGGTAAGCACATGATGAGTTTATGGGCTAGTTTTTGGAAATGTATTGTTATTTCAACTGACAAGTCGGCATATGCTAGATCATCAAATTGATCAACCGGTGTCGTCATATCAGCCCATATGAGTTGCCTCGAAATCGCCTAAATATTCATCGTTATTAATTTGGCTTAGAATGTAGTATACTCTTTATTTTAAATAATTTACAAAAAGTGACAGTAATTTTTCATCTAATACACATTGCAATCGAAATTTACGGTGCAGCTTCAAAGTGGTGAGCTACATCACTATTTACATATTAAAAAGTTTTAATCATTAGTTCAAAAGCTTTGGATATTAAGATGATATTGCTTTATTCATTCATATGAATACTCTATTGTTTTGTACAGAGATCCTGATGGCAATAGTACTCACATATTAATAATATTACTGATTTTCATTGATAGTAAAGCTTTGTGCTTATTTGAATTCTAGCTGCAATTTTACTTTATTATACTACAATGTCAATGTGACGTTCACCTACACATAAATTACTAAAATGGCTAGTGAAAACTTTTATTCCTAACCAAAATGAATTACGTAAGTTTTATTTGAAAGATATTTTTGAACTAGTTGATTATCTGAGTGATATTATTATGAAATACAAGAGGCTGTATTCCTTTGATGTCTGTTCCTTATTTACCAACGTACCTCAAACTAAAACCACTGGCATTCTTTGTGAGCATATATCTTCTAGTAATTTTTCTTCTCTTATCCCATTGATGAGTTCGAAAGAGCTGCTATTACTGTGTGTACTGATAAAGTTCATTTCACACTTGAAGGGGAACATTTCCGATAAATAGATGGCATGGCCATGGGAAGTCCCCTAGAACCATTGTTACGTGCTTTAACATGTCATATATTAAAGCCTTGGTGACCTCATCAGTTAAGTGATTCTGTATAATAGTTATGTTGATGATCTAATTATGATATATGACAAGAATGAAGATACAATATATTTGTTAGAAAGACTTAACGCCGAACAAAACAATGTACGCTTAACATGTGAAGAGATGGATAACCGTCTGCCGCTCTACGATACATTCATGAGGTATAAGAAATACGGTTCAATAAACGGTAAATATGCAAGAAACCAGCCTGAACAGGTCAGTATCTAGGTTCTCATCACTTTTATCCAACCCAAAACCAGTAAGGTTTGGCAATGTGTTTATTCAAAGAATCCAGTGAATCTGTAGGGAAGACTCAATAGATAATGACATTAAAATACTGAAACACTAGTGGAAAGTGGACATCCATTAAAGTTCATAAAATATTGCGAAAGTCAGTCAGCGTTGAAAATCAGTCTGTATTCTGTTCCGAAGAAATGAGTTTATTATATTGAATAATCATACAGAGGAGAGTCTTACAACGTAATTTTAAAACGAAGGCTAAAGTCTGTCATTAGCAAAAAATACCATGCAGCTAGGTTTATTGTAATTGAGGAAACTTAACGTGTTGCACTAGAGACCTCAACACCTAATAAACGATTGCGTCAAATCCCGCTGAAACTATTGATTAACATGTGTGTGTGGACAAGCAAAAGGAGGACTAATCGAGATATCAGGGGGGGGACATGTACTAAAATGGTTACAAAAGAAGCTATATTCACAAATATCGATAGACGCAAGTGGCAGTGAAGCATCATCATCCACTGAAAAACATATTATTGAATAAGGTCACAAGATTGATATCAAAACAGTCTTTGCAATTTTGTATAGAAACTGTCAGGAGCGCATACTTAGCTTTTTTGTAGCGCTAGACATACACAAATCTGAAACAATCAGTCCCTCTGGTGAATTTGAATATGGTAAAGAAACGGAGGCTATCTGAGAAATGTGATGGATTCGCGCAATACATTTAGAAAAATCTAAAAATAGGATGAAAATAGGGTGGGGTAAAATAAATAAATTAAGATAATACAAGATTTGGAAATACAGGGACAGTAAGGAAGAATAGTGCACTTTCACACTTCTCTTGTCATTAAAATGAGAACTTAAAAAAATTTTTTTATTCACATCGCATTCAACGGAGATGCAGTATCTGAGAGAACAGGCACAATAATTAAAAAAGCATTAAAAGCTTTTCTGCACCCGAACTTGTATCACAATCCGATATCGTAAGCTTACTGAACCAACCTAAATTCGAACTATATCCTGTTCATGTCACATCCAACTACATTTGTGAATTTCCATGCACTGAATGACTGACTGAAATATACCTATAACAATTACAATCCTTGATCTTTCTATGCGCTTCCGGAGAATAGGTTCAGTCAATTCTAATTCATAATTCAATTCAAAATCATCACTATGTACTTGCAAAATATGTAATATATAAGAATGCCGTGAAACTTAGAGGAAGATTTAAAACTGAAACTAGAGGAAAGGAAGATAGTTAAAAATTACACACTGCTTTACGTACAACGTTGAACGAAAGTTTTAGTGTGCACAGGCGTTCAGTTTGACTGGTATGGAATTAAACAAGTAAGTCATCAAAATCTAGTAAAAATTCCAAACGAATGAATCGGAGAGCACAGGACTGTTGACCAGCTGGCTAGCACTGAAATGCGAATTACACACCTAGGTCATTATAGTTCCAAATGAAAAATAAAAGGTGGGATATACTCAACACTGCTGATCACTTTGAGAGCTATCGAAAGTAGTTTGATAACATCGATATGATTATGAGCAATAATTTATGCTCGAAACGTCATCAAGTAAATAATACTAGATCACTGTGTGTTATATATCAGTAAAAATGAATGAGACAATCTTTGATATCGATTCAAGACACTCTGTAAAATAAACAAACCAAATATGTTTAGGGAGTTATAAATATGCAGGCAAAAACTGACCACTTACTGGACTCCATTCTCCAATGTCCCCAGTATGAAGCCAGCCATCTGAATCGATTAATTCCGCTGTCTTTTGTGGGTCTTTATAATAACCCTTGGTGCACCGCTTACCTTTCACACAAATCTGAAGAATTAAATGACATCAAATGCTTATCAACATATAAACCCTTCTACTTACATTACTTTTTAAAATATTCCTATTGCGTCTGATTAATCGCACCCATGTGATTCAATCAGTTAGGTAAATTCATCAATAAAAGAATGATTTTTATGGATATCATACGACGTCTCGCATAGACCGCAGGCATTGTAAAAACATTTGCTTTCTGTGCCCCTTCAATGAAGACCTTCATTTCAACGTCGATGGTCAGAAGCATAATTTTTTTTTATTATTTACCCTTTGGGTTCCTAGTGGAACATTGGGACTTCAGTAGCATGTCGCCATTTCACTCCCTTCTCTGCAGTCTTTTTAACCTGACTCCACGACTGCCCACAAGCTTTCATTTCTTCCTCACACGTTCTCCTCCATGTCGTCCTCGGACGCCCAAATCGTCATTTCCCCATCGGATTACACTCGACGGTCTATCCTGGCGCGTGATGTCATCAAACAGTCTTCTCAGTATATGATCACTCCAATTCATCTCCATTTTCTTCTGCATATTTGTTAGGCGATAGCTTCTCGGTTGGTTCGTTGCCACCCAGCCATAGTTTTCTTGTTGCTTATTCTTATTATTCTGGCCATCTGATCCGATCTTCAGTATCAAGTGTGCCTAGTTGGCAGCAGCTGATGTATGTCTGCAGTTTGTTGGAAGTGTTTTTTGTAAAGCGCCGTGTCTGAACCATCACATAGAAGCACTGGCTTGACTGGCATTAGTGTTGAAAATCAGCGTCTTGTTCTCTATGCTGAGTGCAGTGTAGTGCAGTGCAGTTAAGCAGATCTCCACACTGATTTCAGATTCACAAAGGCCTGTCTTGCTGTCTTTGACATAGTCATCTGTGCCTGTGTCGCCTGTAGCTGAAACGATGCTGTCTAGGTAGATGAAAAAGATAACTTCCTTTAGATTTCTACCGTTGATAGTGCTTGTTGTTGGTGATGGTTGAGTATCTTCATCACCTCCGTCTTCTCTACGTTCACCTGAAATCATGTCTTCGCTGCCCGACTCTTCTGTCAACTTGTTGGTTTTCGTCTGTAGATCTTCGACAAGACATTAGACACAAATCATCGTCGGCGAAATCCAAATCTTCTGGATCATTCCGTCGGTCCATCTTCTCGCTCCTCACAGTTTATTGCATGATTCAGTCCACCACAATCAGGAAGATCATTGGTGATAGTAGACAGCCTTATCCCACTCCTGTCTTCACTTCAAAGGCGTCACTGAGCTCTCCATTGTGAATCACTTGACAAGTGGAGACGTCATGTGGGTGTTGAATGAGGTTGATAAAGAGTTTGTCGCACTGAAACCGTAGTGGTGAAGCAGCTGCCAAACTACTTTTCGGTCGACGCTGTCGAAGGCCTTTTCAAAGTCGATGAAGTCATCAATCATCATAAATATCAACACAGGACCAGGCATTACTGCATAACGGTCCAAGTTGCCACAGCTCTTATCAATTCATCAAGTAAAAAGGCAGTGAAGTGGAAGGTAAAGATAAGAAAATCCAATCAAAAAAAAATAACTTACTAAAAGAGAGAAAGGAAGAATCAGAAGATGGTGAGATTCGGCATAGCGTTAAGATGATGATGTGTGTGCCAAACTGACATCGGTTCTCAGCCATATTACCTAGAGTCTCCAACCACTGGTTCCTATTGTCCCGTCAGCCGCAACTGGCTTACCTTCATCACCCTACATGGCTCAAACAAACAGTCGAAGACTTTATGCATTGGTGCCATGTTTAAGTCTGGCCACCTCGGGCCTTTTTACAGCATGGACCTACTTCGGCCAAGTGTGTGACGAGGCAATTGGCGACTAGGCATACGTAACACGTGCCCAACCATCTCAGTCGACGAAGGTACACAACCTCGTCAACTGACTCACCTCTTCTCCCTAAAACCCTACTCCTGGCTTCTGCGTCACTCACCTGATGACACCACCGAATACGGCCTATACTACGAAGACAACAGTGGTCAAACAACTGAAGCCTTCTCATGTCTTTCTCCATCTTGAATGGCCATGTTTCACAGTCATACAGTAGAACAGAGTGAACTGCTACGCAATACATGCGACCTTTAGTAGACAATCAAATATCACGGTGGTACCACAGGGTGGCGTAAGTTGGCAAAAGCCAACCGAGCCTTTTGTATCCGCGCAGAAATATCATCGGCCACTGAGCCACCAGTGCTGATCCCAGTTGCCAGGTAAGTGGAGTGGTCGACTCACTCAACCACTACACTCTATGTTAGCCGTGGCACCGTTGAAGACCAGTTCTGGAGCAGCAATTTGCATATGTGTAGTGAGAAACGCATTCCCAAACATTCTCAAATCGCCACCCAAAGTGTCCAGAAGACTCTGCATCTTCACCTAACAGGACTATGTAATCTCCCCATATTCTAGGTGTAACGAGAATTCTCCCGCGATTAGGTCAACGTCTGTGTAATCAGATGACTGGAGGTAGACCTCCATAAGAATATCTTTGGTGAGGTTGAATAAGAATGGAGACAGTGGGCACCCTTGACGGACACCACTCGATGAGGATAGCTCCCTGGGCATCTCATCATAGGCTCTAACACGCCCACAAGTGTTCGAGTAGAGAGCCTTCAATGTGATGTACTTACTCGTGATGACTTTCAGTGAGAGACACTGTCATAAGACTTCTCGATCAACGGGGTCGAATGCCGCCTTCAGGTCGAGAAATACATCTATTGTCGGGCGTCGGTAGGCGTGTCTATGTTCCAGGACCTGGCGCGGTGTGAATATCTGGTCGATACAGCCGCGGCCGGGTCTAAGGCCTGCCTGCCTGGTTTTCTCGGGTTTGATGTTCCTGAGCTACGCTAAGGCGTTTAATGATTATAAAACCTAGGATCTTGGACACTATGTTCGTCAGGCTGATTCCCTTTGTGGTTATCACAAGAGGACTTCTCGCCTTTCTTGAAGACTGGAATAATCAGTGATTTAGACCAGTTAGAGGGGATCGTATTTGAACCCTAGATACTACTTAACACTTCCGTTAACCTGACTAAGAGCACTACCACTATGCTTGTATACCTCAGGAGTTAGTCTGTCTGGTCCTGCCACCCTTCGTCGTTTCAGGTTACCTACTGCTTTCTCAACTTCTCCTAGCGTTGTGGGGTCTATCTCAAGGTTCCATTCAGGATCCGAATGGATAGGATGCAACGGAATGGTGGCTGGAGGCCAGTCAAACTGCTCCTCGAAGTGTTCTGCCCATCGTCCTAGTCGACTTCCCTGCGAGTGAATCGCAAATCCGTCCTTCTCCGTTATAGCCTCACTAACTGTTGTGGACCATTTCCCCCCAGTCTCCTTAATAAGTCTAAAAAACTGTCTACTGTTACCGATCGCCGCTGCCTTTTCCATCTCTTTAGCCTTCGCTGCCCACCACTGTTCACGATCGTTGCGCAGACTTTTCGTCAGTCTATTTTTAAGTTGCGTTCGCTCTTCGTTGTACTCAGAGCCTGCAGGATTGAGTTCACGTTCATCCGTTAGTTCGAAAGAAACTGCTGATATCCACTAGATCTTTTTAGCCACTACTTCGGGGTTGGCTACGGTCTTCAGTGCTGCTTTTGTAGCAGACTGTAGATGGCACCAAGCTTCTTCTGGATGAGTGATAGTCTTCTGTTCCGATAACTGCCTTGACAACTTTTCAATTAACACGGCTTTGGCGTTTTCGTTGTTTAGCAGCACTCGTAGTGGTTTTGTTGCCAAATACGTGCTTGGGCCAACACGTGTTCGCTATCCAAACAAATACTCTAGAAGAAGCAGCAGCCTTCCACCGAACTTCTCCAACGATGAGTAATAGCAATGTGGTCTGTGTCGATCGCTGAGTTGAGCTCAGTGGAGCGTGGTCTACGGAGACCACGGATGCTGTTTTGTGGACTCAGAACGTTGCCGAAGGCTTCAGAACTAGGAAAAATTGAAGATGATGTAGTATTGTTAATTGAGAGACATGAAGGAAGATTAGAAGGTAATGATGGGGGAGGTGGATAGCAGTCTGACGAAACTTGAGTGCTGATCGAGTTGTGAGGGCGGTTGACACTTCCCGGCTGCCCACACCGTGGAAGGCTATTTCTTCTCAAGGTACCTGAACAAGATTTGTGTGACTGCAGAGCTTATCGGATATCTGCTTGAGGCCTGTCACACAGAGCCTTTTGTGTATGATTGTTTTCAACTTTCATATTTTTGTGGCCGTATGGTCGAAAAGAAACGACAAATGAACAAACACCGGCAGATTATGGGGTATGGTGGAGTGTTATTTTTGGAGCCGACCTTTTCTAACGTCCCCTTCCACTGAGAAGGCAGCATCATCATAGTACTGCTGGTTACTCAAGGGAAACACCTTACTGCTGTCAGACCCCATCCAGCTAGCAGTAGTACGACTTCGCCCTCAGACTTCCATTATAGTGTAGTAATTTACACCACAACGGTAAATGCTTTTCGCCTAACCACTATCCAACAAACCTTTATGGTATGGTAGGACCTCGGGGGAACAAGTGTGTCACCAGCATAGCTCGTTGGGTCATTGTGATATGCAAACGCGACCACCACTTTAAGTTAGCAGCTATCAGCCTGGATGTGCTATGCTGAATTAACGTATGCGATATAGAATTAAGTCCTATCACAATACTCAAGCTCTACTCCCCTTATACTGAGAAAGAAGTCAACCTAACCTGTCGAAAAGAAATGTTGCCTGTCAAGTGTTCTGACGAGAGAATGTAATGCTTTGTCAAAATTGTTGTTAATAAATGTCATTTCTAGAACTCAAACGCTGCCATCCTCCTGAATGATGCTGAATTATTGTGATACATTAGGCAGGCACTTTACGACTTTAACTGCCATGTTCGCATATATTTTTTTCAATATCATTGTTGGTTCATCCTTAAGTATAGTACACCATAAGGAATCTGGAGAAGTGTCTTCGTACATAGTATAAATCTGTCACTCACTAACTGTAGTATTTAATCCTTAATTTTGAACTTTTTCTTAACGTTTACTTTATTACTTGAAAGAATTACCAGATACCAAAGTACCAAACCCGACCACCACGTTAAGGTAGCATTCATCGGTCGGTTTGATGAAGTTGAGGGGGAGAGAGAGAGAGAGAGTTGACTGCCATTCTATGCTCTGTTCTATGATGATGTGTAGCGTTGGGTTGCAATTTGATCGAGACAGCCAGTCTACTCCAGTCATAATTTTGAACGCAGAGCATATTTTAGTCTCTCCAGGATGATGTGGCTCAATATTTTGTGTGTGGTGGACAGCAGCATGATTCCGCGCCAGTTCTTCTTCTCCCAAGGACTTCGGTCTCCCTTCTTTGGGAGTTTGACAAGGTAGCCCTTCTTCCAATCAATCAGCAAGTACCTTTCCTTCCTTCCTTCCTTCCTTGTAAACCTTCTGCAATAGAAGTGTTGTAAGCATGTCCGCTGCAAATATGTCTGTGTCTGTTCTCAGTGCTTCTGGAGGAATTCCATCTGGTCTTGCTGCCTTCCTGGATTTCAGTAACTTTATGGCGTTCAGGACTTCACTACTGCTTTTGTCGGAGGGTTTGTGTTCACTGGTAGTTGTGTGGCTAGGCTGCTGGTGGTGCTTCTGGAAGACTTGCAGATGGTGATGGTGGCTGATTCAAGAGTTTTTTGAAGTGGCCAGCCCATCGTTTCCTTTGTTTCTTCCCTTTGGTGGTAACTAAGTTTTTACTTCACTATCTTTCAATGGTTTCATCTGTGTTGATCTCTTCCCTCCCAGATAGTAAGTGAGCTGGTTATTTGATATAATGTTGTCAGGTGTCTCCTACCTGCAGCCTGCTCTGCTTCACTTGCCAGTGTGTCGTGGAAGGAGTGTCTTTTGTCTTTGCATGAACTCTTCTTCACTTCTTTGTCCAGTGTAGTGTTTCGCAGGTTGTACTGAGTTCCTCTTTTCGTTGTTCATCTTTGCACTGGTTTACCTTCTGCTTCACCATCTTCCACTCCCTTCTCTATCAGTTTCCATGTGTCCGTCGAGATCTATTCCTTGTCCTATTTTTTCTTCTTTCCTAATACGGTTATGCAGGCTTTTTCCACATAGCTTTCAAAGAGTTCCAATGTTCTTCCATGCAGGTTCCTTCAGGGATGTTGCTCAGCGTCTCCCACTTTATTCTGATGCCTGACGTGAAGATTTACTTTGTAGTTTCGTTCTTCAGTTTGTGTTCTGGGTGTTGAACTTGTTTTGTGGTCGTCTATCACCAACTTCCTTGAAGGCTCTCAACTTGATTTTGAAGGTTCTTTGCACTAGATAGTGAGTGGTGTAAACCTGCATCTGTTCTTCTTCTTCATCTTGTGTCCAGTCCAGTAGGGTGCGTCTCAACGTTTTTCATACATCCATCACAGAGTAGGTATATACACCTTAATGGTAACTGTACAACTTTCCAACCGTCATTCTTGGCATAACAGGACCTCAGAGAACAAATATTTACGCTAGCACAGTTTTTTTCGAGTTATTGTGATATACAAACAGGTCAAGGTAGCAACTATCGACTGAGATGAACAGAAAGGTATAACAATCATGTACATTTGTTTGACAAATGACTTCAAAATCTATACCTCTCCTCTATTGTCTCTTTTAGCGACCACATCTAAATCCGGTACGTCAGCCAATTTTACTTCTACACCATGAGCAACTGCACCCAATATGCCAGTTCGATATTCACCAACTAAAGAGACAGTTATGACTCCCGTGGTTTCTGTTGAACCATAACCTTCGACGATCTAAAAAAGAATATAGATGTTTCTAATGGACAAGATTCGAAATAATAATATTTATAGTTAAACATTGAAGGTTGCTCCCTGTTCTTCGAGTCTTCACATTTGCTTGCGAAACATTTATCAACAAACCACGTTATTTTCTAGTAGAGATAACCGTTAACAGTGTATACTGATAACCATTGTGCTTTATGCAGTACCTGAATATTAGTTAAAGCTGAGGAATTTTCCACCTAATCAATCATTGTGCCTCCATAGCACACTGTATTTGTCCCACAGGATTATCAAAGGGAAGCTTACTTACATTGATTTAACTTCCCTGGAAATGAGTATCATGCCTGCGTATGCGTGACTTTCAAATAGTCAGTATGTGTTAGGAAAGACCGTAAATGCAGTTCAGTTATGTGTTCACTTATTGCAACTATACAACTCTAGTTATGATAAATAGTCTACTGATCACAAATCTTGGCTAATAATGATATCAAGAAAAAGATCTATCTGCAAAGAAATATTTTCTTCAACCAACTTTACTATCAAGCTGTACAGTCAAATTTACTTTAAAGTACGAAGTCAGATAGTTGTACCAAAAACACCACTACGTCAAAACATACAATATACAGATGAATCAACCTCTTGACGTTTAGGGGACCACGTTAGGTAGTAGGAAGAATATTTGACTCTCATCATCTCGCTAGTAAACAAACTAACAAAATGAAATCATTTAAAATATAAAACCAATGACGAAGGCAACAAACAAATTTATGCAATATCTTTTATAACGACACATCTAAATTCATACTCGAGAAGTAATTTGTTTATGTTTAACACTGGATATTCATGCACGTATTGCAGCAAAATACTACTTTTCCATATGTTGTCCGGTAATGCAACAACCTGAACAGTTTTACACATGTACAACATCTGTAGCCAGTATTACTAAGTTGAACTTCCAGAGTTTGTAACGAAACTTCAGTAAAAACCTAGCATATACAGGAGTCTGAAAAATAAATAACCTTCAACAAGCAACTTTTAATCAGGGAAAACTTAAGGAATTCAACCCGTGGATTCAAATGCAATCAGATACAAAAAACTATGAACTACTACTGCAGGGACAACAGCGGACATGCTCATACCACTATTGCAGGTCTGGAAGGAAGGAAAAGTTCCTTCCGAATGGAAGGAGTGCCTTGTCAAACTCCCAAAGAAGGGAGACCGAAGTCCTTGGGAGAAGAAAAACTGACGCGGAATCATGCTGCTGTCCACCACAAACAAAATATTGAGCCACATCATCCTGGAGAGACTTTAAAATGCTCTAGATTCGAAATTACGACCGGAACAGGCTGGCTTCAGGAAGAACAAATCATGTGCCGATCAAATTGCAATGCTACGCTACGCATCATCATAAAACAGAGTATAGAATGGCAGTCACCCCTTTACCTCAACTTCATCGACTTTGAAAAAGCCTTTGACAGCTTCGATCGACAAGTAATTTGGCAGGCTGTCAAGTGATCAACAATGGAAAGCTTAGTGATGCTTTTGAAGTGAAGACAGGAGTGAAACAAGGTTACCTACTTTCACTTATGATATTCCTGATTGTGGTCGACTGGATCATGCAACAAACATTGAGGAGCTGTGAGAAGAGGGAGATGCGCTGGACCGGGGAAAAGATCCTAGAAGATTTGGACTTTGCCGGTGACTTGTGTCTAATGTCACACAAACTTGAAGATCTACAGGTAAAAACTAACAAGTGGACAGAAGAGGCAGGGCAGCGAAAACGGGACTCCAGGTGAACATAGAGAAGACAGAGGTGATGATGGTAGCCAACCAACAACAGCATCAACAACAAGCACCAATCGCAATCAAAGGGAGAAACTTGAAGGAAGTAGTCTCTTTCACCCATCTCGGCAGCATCGTTTCAACTACAGGCTGTGGCACAGACGAGGATGTCAAAGCCAATCAGGATCGGGAAAGCAAGACAGGCGTTCATTAACCTGAAATCAGTGTGGAGATCTGCACTCAGCATGTGGAACAAGATGCGGATCTTCAACTCTAATGCCAGTCAAGTCAGTACTTCTATATGGTTCAGAGACGGCGAGTTACGAAAAGCATTTCCAACAAACTACAGACATTCATCAACAGCTGCTACCTACGCTCGGTACTGAAGCTCAGATGGCCAGAAATAATAAGCAACAAGGAACTTTAGCCTGGCAACAAAGCAACCAAAAAGCTATCTCTCAACAAATATGCAGAAGAAAGTGGAGATGGATTGGATTGGACATACACTAAAGAGACCATTAGGGGGCATCACACGCCAGGCACTCGAGTGGAAAACAGATGGGGAACGGCGAGTTAGGCTTCCGAGGGTGACATGGAGGAGAACGTGTGAGGAAGAAATGGGAGCTTCTGGCTAGTCGTGGGGCCAGGTTCAAAAGATTGCAGAAAACAGAGTGGAATAGAGACGTGCTACTGAAGCCCTATGTTCTACTAGGAACCCAAGAGACAAATAATAATAATAATAATAATAATAATAATAATAATACTGCAGAATATATCATGATCGCAATTCAAAAACAGCAGTAGCCTACTACTTAGTGAAATACCAGTAAGAATAAGCTTAAACTATAAAATTAACCATCGAACTGAGGTTCGATTTCTTACGCAAGATAATTTTAACTAGTGGGTCATAGGTTCGAAACCTCATCCACCTACCGGCATTCAGGTGATCAGGTAATATCACAGTCGTCACACGATTGATACGCTTCACCGCCTGGCATGAGAACCTACATGTAGTTGGTAAACTTTTAATTACTAAAAATAAATGAAAACTTACAAGTCCATTAAATACAGCGCGTACGAAATTCAGAATATCAGGCATCAGAGGAGCACCACCAGTTATTATTCCACAAACATGTCCACCAAGAGCTTGACGGAGTTTCTTAAAACAAAGTGTGTCCAAAAGACTTTGGTGATTAAATTTCCCACTGGTGAAAAACGAATAATAAAAATTTCTTCAACAGTAATTTTGATATATATCAAAATAAGTTCAGATATGTATGCAAAAAACAAGGACAAATATGATTAATGACCATAAATTTCACATTGGATTAAAAATGCAGACATGCTACTTTACGCTCAGTCAGAAAATTTATTTCCCTCAAAATCTGGAATAGTTTTAATAACAATCGAAATTCATTGTGGTTAGCTACATCAGATTGTCGCAACAAATCGAGGTGAGAAGAAATTTTAAGTGTGTAGTGAAAACATTTCAAAAGAATACTATGAATGGTTACAATCCTTTCCAGGTAATAATGAAAGACTAGTATACTTCTGAACAATTTGAAAACTAACATGAGCACCTGTAAACGCAGTGATAACAAAATATTGGATAAACGAAAATAGCATTCAAGATCATGTAACGTAGATACTTAATATCTGTAATCCATGAAAAAGCCGAATATCGAGTTAATCACTCAGCAAAATACAACGGTAGTCTTAAAAAAGGCTTCTGCTTCATTCTGAATAGTCATAATAATGAGTATTTCGATGCTGATGCTCCCTAGTAAATACTGCGTTACACTAACGCATAGTTACGAGTATACAGGCTTTCACACATTACAGACTGACTACAGTACTTAAGAGATTCAAATAACAACATATCATAAACGCAAAAAAAATACCACACTAGTTACATCGATTTCCCTTAAGTGGAAGAAAGTTTCTGAAAGAATAATATGTGCAGGTTTCATGTTTCAGATTGATAATTCGAACTGAAAGCCTCCTGCACACAGATATTAGTACACTTCTGTTTCCGTATACACTTAAAAATAGTAAGCAATCCGAATAACAGAGAGGATAGGGGTCAAACTGGATGTAGGCTAACATGGACGAACTCTGGAACGACAGACTCTAAAGCTGTAGAAAACACTGATTTAAATATAAGTATGTCCGCAAGATATCTCCGGAATTCATGAACTCCTTACAGAAATTGATGATATCAAGATGGTGAAATAAGTATTAGTGGCACTAATTTACTAAATACTGGTTTCTGAAGAGACTGACAAAATTGTACAAAAGCGCAACGGCTCAAGTTACGACACTTCAAAGTAATATACAAGGAACAGCTGGATAGAAAAGGTGATATAAAAGTAGATAAAGTAATGTGAGAGAATAAACAATCTGAAGACAAAAGTTAGTGCAAATATTCAAGGTGTAGATGTCAAGGAGTTAATACATCTGTGCCATTGTGATTCGTTTCCCGCCATGTCACTGAGAGTCCTCAACCACAGATTCTCATTTTAAAAAAGCCATAAAAAGCAACGCAAAATACAAATCTTCTGTATGTTAAAGCGAAAGAATTAGGCATAAACTATTTACCGTCTTTGTTCGCTGAGTTTTTGTTTAAGTACACGGTTAAATAAACGAGTTTTCAAAGCTGATCCACCAATAGCCTTTTCATATTTAGAATAAATGCGAGACAATACGCGAGGGACAGCTGTTAGCATCGATGGCTTTAGACTTTCACAATCAGTGACAAGCCCATCAACAGTAGTTGTCAAAAATCCATCTTAGCACCTTCAATTATCACAATAGACTAAAAATAAAAATAAATGTAGGATGGTCAGCATTTTAATTACACGACAAATGTAAAATATTGAAAAAGATTGCTGAGTGAGTCCGTCAACAACTCTGTGCCCGAAACGATGGCTTTTTTCCTTTAGATGAGATAAGCAAGTTTAACGAGTATAGTTTTGAAATTAAACAATCACAATTTATGTAAGAACCAACATAGTGAATACTGCTTAATCTTTTGTATAAACTCTCTGAAGAATGTATTTTAATAAGCCAGGTCAACCTTAGCACATGGTTATCCGAAACGTTGCTATTCAAACTACCAACCCACTGTGGTCAAACAAAGAAAGTCAATCAAAGAGTTAGTAGTGTTTTAGTCCAAAGGAAATAGTGTAGAAGTAAGTCAATGAATAGCTGAATGCGCACCAGCTTATTGCAACGGTCTGGAAATCAATAGTTTATAATTTAGCTTACAACGTTTAGCAACCAGAGAGCGTGATAAAGAAACAATAACAAATTGGCGAC